TATGCTGTGGACATGATCTCTGCGTCCTAGACTGATTCTAAGCCTGGCTCCAAGGGTAGCCAGAAGCACAATCTCTAACTGCCCCTAGCCAGGCCTCTTGCGGGAAAGAGAAGGGACATTATAGTGATGATGAGAAAGGGAGCCTGATCTAATTGTTATGTGACTTTGTGCCAAAGTGAACTGTGCACTCTACAAAATCGGAGTTAGCCTCATAGCAGGAGAAAGGTTTAGTGGAGGCTTATTGGCGTCTTTGGAGATGGGGTACATTAGCTGTGGTCATAAAGAAAGACTGTTACAAGATAGACTGGTCAGGAGAACAAAGATGACTTATCTGATCCTGACTGCCACAAAGGAGCAGTTATGACTCAAGGTATTTGAGTTGGATCTCGTTTAACTGGTAGCTTGCCAGTTTAATGTCTTCCTAAAGATAACACGGCAATACTTTCTAATCAACTCAATTTGTTATTACAGTTTGTCAGCCTATTACTGTATAGGCTTTTGGAAAAGGTGTTCCATGTTCCTAAAATATCTATATAACACTCTTACACAAATTACTCATTAATGTCACTGTCATAGATAAGTTGCTAAAACCACTCTGCATTAGCACTGAGGCAAGTCCCATGGGTTTTAAGTAGGATGGCTTATTTTATTTGTTGCAATTGTGTGGCGGTTTGCCAAGATATTTTTAACAGGGAACTCTAGAATCTGCTGGCGTTAAAAATGACGATAAATAACCACAAAGACAGCAGGGGAACACCTCTAACTAAATAAAGGAGAGAGAGAGAGAGAGAGAGAGAGAGAGAGAGAGAGAGAGAGAGAGAGAGAGAGAGAGAGAGAGAGAGAGAGAATGTCTCCAGGCTCAGGTGCTGGGCCAGATTCCAGGCTGATGCTCACTAGCAATCCTGATGATGGCCATCGTACCACCCGAGAGAGTTGCTACACTCTGGGAGTGACCTGATGTCCCATGATGAAGCAACCTGTACCCATTTGGGGCAGTGTCCCTCTGATCATGGTCCACAGAGCTGCAGCAGTAAGCACCCTAGTAAACAGCAGTGTCACAGGAAGTGCTTCTCCTTAGAAATTTAAAGCATGTTTTGGAAGATGGTTTCTTAAGGCCTTTGATAAGCTAATGCTTTACCCACAAACATTTACTAGTGTAAGACATGAAAAATAAGAATAACCAGCACAAGTTCATGTGGCTGGGTGTCAGGTCGGCATTTCCTCATTTATTCTCTGCGCATGTGTGTGTGGTGCCGAGGGTTGAACCCAGGGCCTTCGATTGTGCTGAACAAGTGCTGTACCACTCAGCCACGCCCCACCCCTCATTATTCATCCTAACAACACTATGGGGTGCATGGTATTATTAGGTTTTGTCTTGTTTTATTTTGCAGATGAGATGAAACAAGAAAACTAAGGGTAAGTCACACAGCACGATGTGACTGATCTCATGGCTATCTGACCCTGTGTTCTCATTATGCTAAAAAAAGCCACCTATTAGCACATTCCAACGTTAATGCTATCACGAAAGCCACACACTTTATGAACCACTCAGAGATAACAACAACAGTAACAGAATGCATGGGATAATATAAAAAAAAAAAATTAAGTATTTATTTATTTATTTATGCTGCTGATGGAACCCTGGGCCTTGTGCATGCTAAGCACATGTTCTGCCCCTGAGCTTCACCCCCAGCCCTTAAATTTTTACTGGGGGAACATAAGAAATTTGAATGAATGGAGAGGCATACTGTGTTCCTGAATGAAAGACAACAATGTGAAAATTATCATTTTAAATTCAACTCATCTCTTAAAAATCCCAGTGCACCTATCTAGAAGAATACCTGCCCACAAGTAGCCAGATGATTCTAAAAAAAAGGAAAAAAGAACAATCGTGAGATGGAGTAGGAAGTGTCAGGGAGGTTCGTCAGGAGCATGGCAATAATTAAGACAGTGTCTACCTGGAACCAAATTAGAATTATTAATGAAATAGAATAGAAAATTCAGAAGCAGTATATGTAAACACTTAATATATCATAAAGATAACATTTCACGGTGAGTGGATTATACAATAAATAGTCTGGAGATGGCTAACCTTGGGGGAAAACTTAGAACTGTACCTTACATGTTATGCTAAAATTACAGATAAGTGTAATTGTTAAAAAGAGAAAAAAAATCCAGAAAAAAATAGGTCAATTTTATATAACTTAAAGGATGGGATTAGTTTGAAAGAATGACAGGTAAGTCGAAAGCTATCTTAGGAAAGAATAGATTTATCTGCATTAAAGACTCAAAATTTCTGTACTTTGAAAACCACAGTAAATAAAATAAGAACAAAATATAAACTTTTTGCAGTCTGTAAGAACAAAAATTATTATTCTTAATACCCAAACCAATAAAAAGATAATCGTCCTATTTTAAATATGAGCAAAGACTATTAATAAGCAAGTGAGCAAAAGAAATTGAAATTACCAACTAATGGAAAACATATTTATTGTTCTTAGTAATAAAATAGTAAATGAAAGTAATGAAAAGGAAGATATAGTACCAATTTCACTTATTAGACTTAAAAAAAATGAAAATAATAATATCTAGTGTTGGAGAGGATGGGGGCAAAGGACATTTCCCTAAAAAGAAGTGCTGGGAGAGTATAAATTTTACACAATTTCTAGGGAAGGAAGATAATCTGACAAAGGCCATGAAAATCTTAAATACTGCACATACCTTGACCTGCAGTTCCTCTCCTAGAGATTTATGCAAAGACAATAATTAGAAGTGTATTTGGGGGGCTGGAGTTGTGGCTCAGAGGTAGAGCGCTTGCCTAGCATGCACGAGGCATTGGGTTTGATCCTCAGCACCACATAAAAATAAAATAAGGGTATTGTACAATTTTATTGTACCTACAATTAAAAAATAAATATTAAAAAAGGTGTGTTTGGGAGTGTAGTTTCAATAAAAATTGAAAATGGCCTAAAAATTTAACACTAAGGAAATGTCAAAAAAAGATATTGGGGTGAGGGTGGATGTCGTAGGACTATGGAATGTGATGTTGGGGGTCAAGACCAGGGCTTTGCACATGCTAGATAAGCACTTTACCACTGAGCCATATACCTCTAGCCCCAGGTGTTGGATTAGCAAGCAAAGATATTTTATGTGAATGAGAGTAGGAAAAGCAGATTACAGAACAACATGAATAACATGATCCTAACTTTGTACCCGAAAGGACTATGTATATACATATATACATATATCTGTTACATATATTATCACCGTTTGGAAGAATAAATACCAAGTATTAGCTATCATGACATGGTTGGTATTTTTATTTTGCTTCTTGTATTTTCTATTTTTCAACAATGAATATGGACTGGTTTTATAATAATTAAATTAAAAAATCACTTTGATCGTAACAGCTGGACAGAGATCAGAGATGTGGACAAAAGATGGCTTTACCAGTTGCTCTCCAGCTTTGTACTAAACTCTGCTTAGAGTGGCTGAAATGTCAAGATAAGGCCCCAGAATTCAGGAACTTCTGCTCTGCAGTGATGCACTCCTGAATCTTAGAAATACTATCCTGCTACCACCCAGTTTCCAAGAAATGAAACCTCCTTTCTCTATTGAAGAGTTGTTCAGAGTGACTTACTGTACTTTGAAAACCACAGTAAATAAAATAAGACGTAAAGAAAATAAGAAAGGGTTGGTCTTCAGATTAAAAAGAAAAACAACACTTTGTTTTCGGGTGGAGAAGGGTGCTGAGGATCAAATTCATCAATTGATCTGGTTGTTTTAAAGTCCTTTTTGGAAACATTTTTTTTTTTTTTAAATTGGTGATGGGGTCTCATTATGTTGCCTAGACTGGCGCTGAACTCCTTGGCTCCAACGAGCATCCTGAGTACCTGAGACCACAGCTGTGTCACCATGCCTGGCTACCACTCTGTGTTTTACTGAGATCACTGAAGTGGGAGTCAGAACAATATCATCCATTGCAGGCCAAACACACCTTTGAGCTCGGGAGACACCAGCTCTGTTGATAATTATTTCTCAAGTACTTTCTTGGAGACAGAGTTGACTTCAAATAGAGACATGCTAGAATTTGAGTGAAGGGGTACAAAACTAAAAAAAAAAAAAAGTGGGGAGGAAGCTACTGCAATTTGCTTTCTAGGAGACTTGTGTGGAGGTGCAGTCCCCCTGGGAACCCGCTGGGAAAAAGCTGAGAAGCCAGATATTTGGCAGAGATAGTCAAGTTCGAAACAAAAGCACAGATTAGCCAATAACACCGTCAGGTTCAAATACCAACTCTATAATTTATGTCTACTCACACCCTAAGATGCCCGATGATTGAATTCTAAATGATGCTGAATGGGCACCTCCAGATCCTCTGTGGGTGTGAACAAAACGGGCTATTGAAAACCTGCCAGGGCCACAAACTCTTGAGGGAAAACAACACATGGAATTTAAAGAGAAAAAAAAATGCTATTTTGGCATCTAGTCGTAGAAAATAGGATTAGATTTAATTAAAGGGGGGAACCCCAACTCCATCTGGTTCTCTCTGCGTAAGTGCTGGGGAGGGATATTAGAACGAGAGCTGGGATTATTTCTTGGCATTCATGGATTTCCTCCTCAGGGATCAAATACAAAATTCAAACTGACCTTTGTTTCAGAAATTGTAAGCTGGACAATGTTGGCTACCTGAATGTCAGTGTTTTTTGTTTTGTTTTGTTTTGGTACTGGGGGTTTAACTCAAGGGTGCTTAACCACTGAGCCACGTCCCCAACCTTTTTTTGTATTTTATTTTGAAATAGGGTCTTAGTTGCTTAGGGCCTTGCTAAGTTGCTGAGGCTGGCTTTGAACTCACGATCCTCCTGCCTCTGCCTCCCAAGCCGCTGGGATTACAGGTGTGCACCACCATGCCTGGTGTTAATGCTCTCTAGTTACTTCTGCATCTTCGCATTGCTTCTTAAAAATATACTACAGTTCTGTTTTATTTTGTTTCATTTTAACAGTGACAATGAATCCTAAACCTGAAAGGTGCTGATGTTGTCCAAGAGGAGTGGCCACTGAGGGAGCCCGTCTGTCCTGCCCACCGAGGAGAAAGATGAACTTAAATAAATTTCACATCTATGTAGATGCAGAACCTTCTGCTGTTCCTTCTACCACCCACTCCTTTGACGATGGCAACACCTGGACTTGGAAGAAAGAACGATTGAGAGGCGCTGGGAAAGGCCTGGCTGCTGTCCAGCCCTGCTCCCAGGCTGGAGGAGTCCTGTGACACCTTGGCTTCTGATGGGTGGGCACCCCTCCTGGCAGCCGGCTTGCAGCTGCCCTCGCTCTGGCCACCCTCGCTAGGTCCTCCTCACCTGTCAGCTTCATCCCTCAGGGTTTTCATCAGGAAGCTGCTTTATCTCTAGTTTCCTTCTGAGTCACCTTATTACCTAACCACTTTGGATAGTGTCCTCTATTATTCAAGTCCTCTGATAGGTCAATGGCGTTCAACAGGAACTGTCCTCAAGGACACTTATGTCATGGAAAAGACATCAAACAAAGCAAGCAAGCGCTTCAATGTCTCCACCGTCCCAAGGGTTGGAAAGCACATTTCTACCTGCCAAGAAGATGCAGTGAGAGAGTCCATGGTCCTGATGAGGTGTCGTCAGGTGACTTGTAGACTTGACTTGGCCACATCCAAATGACCCTTGGGAACTTCTCAGAATCTCCAGAGAAAGAACCAAACCCGCACTTTCCTTCTCAGCTAAAATCACCTCTACTAAAGCTCTCTCCCTTATCTGTGATCTATGGGCAGGGAATATGTGCAGGTGGGGACATCTGTCACCCTTCTTCTTCTCCAAGATCGTTGAGGTTATTTGAAACAAACAGATTAGGAACAGGAAATAGTTGTACCTGAGGCTGGTGTTACTCATCACGCACAGCCTGCTTTCCTGCTGAGCTGGGACCAACCTCCTGTCCCCAACACAGTTCTCCACGAGGTCACTATCAGTCCATCAGAGATGACATTCTACGCGGTATTTATGGACAACCTGTTACTGAAAGCAATGATGGAAAATGGAGAAGGGTTCATTGGCCATTCCCTCATCACATTAAAATCATCTCCATCTAATCCTTAGTGTTCTCATTCTGACCTCTGAAAAGCAATCTAGCAAATTGAGAGGCCTCAGCTCTCCTAGGACATTTGATATTTTATTCCAGGAAAGAAACCAAGAATGAAAACTTTATTTATTTTGCTAACAGCGTGTAAACTGAAAGGAGATTTGAGGGTAACCAAACTTTTGCTGCTGAATTTGGGGTCTGTGTTTGAAAGGCTGCCTTAATGCAAAGTGAAACTCCTCCACTCCTGACTTTTAGGGTTCCTTTAACAATTTTCTTGCCTTTAGAGCTATGCAGATTTTTATTTTTACTTTTGGTACCAGGGATGGAACCCAGGGTGCTTAAACACTGAGCCACATCCCCAGCCCTTTTTTATATTTTATTTAGAGACAGGGTCTTGCTGAGTTGCTCAGGGCCTTGCTTAGTTGCTGAGGCTAGCTTTGAACTCATGATCCTCCTGCCTCAGCCTCCTGAACCCCTGGGAATACAGGTGTGCACCACTTGTCCAACCCTATGCAGATAATTTTAAAGGCAGGGTTCCAAGCCAGCGAGGTCTCTATACAATGAGGCACCAGTGTCTGGTTTGTTTGAGCACTGAAGTCATGTGTCCTGGGACCATGCAGTGCCTTGATAAAAGACAGTCTTTGTGGGTTATAACTTAATAGATTTGTCTATCATCCTCTCATTAGCACATCCTATGTGACTTTTTGTTTTCGTTGCTGTTTTGCATACTCATAATCAACTTATGGTCCATGGTGATTCTCAGATATTTATGCCAACATTGCTGTTTTCCAGATCATCACACAACTTGTCTATTTTCTGCTTAGCGTTGTTACTTCAAGTTTGTTTCTCATGAACAGTTGGATTCTTAGAAGAGATTCAATTTGCTTTTTGCTCTCTTTAGGCATCTAAGATCTTTGCTGGGCACTCAGTCCTCTAACCTTGATTGAACCCTATCAAATAATGAACTGAGAAGTTCTGAGAAGTATAATGGATCCTGGAATCTCACTTGGATGAAGCAAAATCTTATGAGATGATAAAAACACTTCTCAAAATTTGGCATTTTAAATAACTTCAGATTCCAGAAGATACAAACTTCAGCAACATGTAATTGAGTGTATATCTGAGAAATGTACTGACCTCTATAATTGCACAGTGTGTGAGGCACTTTTTAAAAAGAGGTTCTTCTGGTAAAGTATTCAAGCCATTAATCCTAGCACCCTGCATCTCTTTATTACTATTCAATCAATGTATATCCTTAACAATTCCAAGAATTGCTCTTAACCCCAAACTTAATTTTATGTTTCAGATTATTGCTTGTTAAAAAAAAGTCATTAATTTGCTCTAATTGGATAGCCAATAAGAACAAAGTCTGACTTTAAAATATTTTAAAGATATGTAAGTTTTACAGCATTTTTGGGTCATTTTGTGCAAACTATGCTAACAACATTGCCTAATTGAACTCCTCAGGAAACTTGTTTTCATAAATATGTAAAAAATCTATATATGACTCCTGTCCCAATACTCTGATTCCTCCCCCTGGGAAGGACTTTGGTACCCATATGCACCCTTGATATAGCAGAGGTAGCAGAGGCCTCTTCTGATTTCCACAGCTCTAACAACGGAAATTATGTCAACATAAGTGGGTGCTTTAAGAAAATTGTGTCTGTTTATTCCTTTATTTTGATTGTATGAACCATCAATTTAGATCAGCTCTGAAAAAGGTCTATGTTGAATAGATGTTAATTTCATCTTTTGTGCATATTAGTGCATATTCTGAATTTACTGGAGTGATAAGACATGGTTTCCCACTGGAAAATCACTGCTGAAATTCTCTAATTTTTCCCTCCAGTGCTGGAGATTGAACCCAGGGCCTTGCACTTGATAATAGGCAGATGCTCTACAACTGAGCCGCACCCTCAGCCCTGAAATTCTCATTGTGGGGAAAACATCAAAATTTTGTACTGAATTCAGGGGGATGGGAATGGCAAAGACGGTGGAGTGAACTGGACCTAACTTTCCTAAGTTAGTATAGGATACACGACCAGTGAATTCCACATCATGTACAACCACAAAAATGAAGCATATTTTACAAATATGCTCCATGTGTGTATGATATGTCAAAATCTACCCTACTGTCATGTAGAATTAAAAAGAACAAATAAAAAATTTATACTGAATTCAGTTAATACTTGACTTTTTCATAATCAGAAGTCACTCACCATGAATTCTGGGGTTTCCTTTTAACAGCTACAACACATAGTCCAAAGCAGCTTCTCTTATGGCCACGTTTCTGTGACCTACAATGACCACAAGAGTTCCTGTGTATTAGTGAGGACCATCTAATTGGTTATTCGTAACTGCATAACCGAAACCACCAATTGCCTGCCTCGTTTTTGTTTTTGCATTTTGATGTACACTTTGGCATTGCCTTGATACCGTCTTGTCTGCTATCAAAATTAGGTTTTCCTTCTAGCCCTCTTGGGGATTGTTGTTTGTAGGCACCTGGTATTTCTTTTTGCTTTTTTTTTTTTTGTCTTATTTTCTTTTCTAAATAGCATGTCGTGCTCCTGAGATAGCAATTCACATAATTAGGCTTTTTATGAACTCCAAACATGCTTTGAGCTCTTTTTGAAATGATATTTTAAGAAGGTAAATTCCTAAACCAAAGTGCTTAAGATAACATGATTTTAATGTCCGCGTTGTACAGTGTTGACCTGTTTAAGATGATCAAAGGCTTTTTGCTTATTTATGGATGGACTTCAGTTGGTGCAGAGGGCTTGGATAACTGTATTTCTCAATTCACATGGCATCATCATCTTGTATTTTGGTCTTATCAATAAGTGACTTTTGCAAAAAGCATATTCTTCACAGAGGTAATTTCTTTTGTCTGTGTTGAAAGACTTAATGAATGAATGATATGCTTCTATTATGATCAGTAAGCAACATCTTTTCCAGTGTAAAAATCAGTTAACAGTAATCACTGTATTACTCTGACTTAGATGAAACCCCTAAAATTATAAATAGTAGCAGGAACATGTTTAATAATGACAGGTGTCAGAAGAACAGGATTTATAAATATTCAACAAGTTGAGAAAGATCCTGTAGATCAGTAAGAATTTAATACACATGGTGGCCCACACTTGACGGCTCCGGAGGCTGAGGCAGGAGGGTTTCAAGTTTAAAGCCAGCCTCCTCAATTTAGTGAGGCTGTAAGCAACTTAGTGAGATCCTGTCTCTAAATAAAAAATAAAAACTGGGCTGGGGATGTTGCTCAGTGGTGACCACTGCTGGGTTGAATCCCTGGTAGAGAGAGAGAAAAAAAAAAGAATTTAATACACATATGTCTTGCATTTAAGATTAACAAAATAATGTTTAAAAATACTGTGCTTTTCTCTTTCATCTTATAAGCAATAAAGTATTTCTTCAGAGGGTCAGTTAGATCAACAGATGTAATATTAGCTCTTTAGCTTAATCCTAGCAATGTATAAATTCTAGCCTGTGAACCACATACAAGAATTGTCCCATGGTCACAATTGGAACTGATTTTTACAAATATCAAGACTGATTAAATCAAAATAAATAATCATATACACATTAATATGTTAAATTGTTCACTCAGCAATGGTAATTTAAAAACCATTTCTAAATTTAATTGAAAAAGCTCTATAAGATAGGAGGAAAGAATATCTCCTACATTCATTTCATTGTAATTGATGAATACCAATATTCAGAACAAAAGTTTATTTGAAGGTAAGATACTTGCTGACTATTTGTTTACTAAGAAAAAAGGGGTGAATTATGCATCTTTCCAAAGGAAAAAATTTTTAATTTAATTTCTGTGATTATAAAAATAATTGATACATTTATAATTGCACTGTTTTGATCCATATCCCTTTTTAAGTAAACGAAACAATACCAATTCAAAAAATTTGTGTAGAATTGAACTTGCTTCATACAAAATTTTCTAGCCTAAAAATTAAGTGAATTTCCTGCATTTCTAGATATTCTTCTTCTTCTCTTTATTTTCCTTACAAAACATTTTATTAAATGGAAGATTGAAATTGTAATTGTTTATAGGAATGTGGTTTTAAAAAATATTTTCAGTAAGAATGACAAAATCAGCCAGGTGTGGTGGCGCACACCTATAATCCCAGCGGCTCTGGAGGCCAAGGTAGGAGGATTACAAATTGAAAGCCAGCCTCAGCAACTTAGTGAGGCCCTAAGCAACTCAGCGAGACCCTATCCCTAAATAAAATATTACAAAGGGCTGAGGATGTGACTCAGTGGTTAAGCACCCCTGGGTTCAATCTCCAATATCAAAAAATAAAATTAAATAAAAATAACAACCAAATCTTAGAGATGAAAGCTTCTCTTTTTCCTAACCACTAACTTTTCTTTGTGCTTTTCATTCTAACTTCATCTTCTACAACTCAGCATCATAACAGAGCAAGGCTGAGTGGCAGATTCATGGCATGTAGTTAAGGTGGAGATGTCCTTGAGTAGGACACATTCTCTTAGGTCACAGAGACCAGCCAGCATACTGACAAATATTGGGCAGGAAGATTCCTTCTATAGTCCCCAACTAAAGAAAAGCCTTATCAGTTATGGCTTCAACATACCCCTAGAATCTACCGCGCAGCGTGTTTCCTTCTTATTTTAACCAGAACTAACTGCTGGGACACATCAGCCTGGAGATGGCTGGACCCCAAGAGCAGACAGTCCCCAAGAGAAAAGATGCCAAGAGAGAACAATCATCTTGACTAGCATTTATTTTTATTTTTATTTATTTTTTAGTTATAGGTGGACACAATATCTTTTTTAAAATTTTATTTTTATGTGGTGCTGAGGATCCAAGTGCTCACGCATGCTAGGCGAGCACTCTACCACTGAGCCACGGCCCCAGCCCTTGACTAGCATTTATCATATGTCTCAATTAGGAATTAAATTCAGCCTCCCATCCTAGAGACAAAAAATAAAGTTTTTTGAAGTAACATTTCTCAAACATGAAAA